AAACAAAAAGTTTCTTTGGTGAAGTATCCAAAGCATCCCGTGGATCGCCCTTTGACTGACATGGGATGATGCAGTCCGAAATCGATGACATCTTATACTGGTACACAACACTGGGCCCAACAACACATTTTCTTCAGCATTTGCTATTGAACCAGGTCCAAGATTAATCACCACTGTGTCTTAATGTTATATGGAATATTAGTGTAAGAACATATGTTATATAGTGAGTTTGATCTCATTGATATGGAACTAAACAGTAGTAAATAAATCATAACAACACCAAAATTGAAAACAGTAAATCACTATCTTCAACTTAAGAGGCTGAAATAATTTTGCATAAGTAATTGAATGTAAGGATATTATACATCTACTTTTTGGAGAATATTTTTACTTCAAGAGAGTACCCTAACCCATTCACCATCAAACCAATTAACCAAACCAAGAAAAAACATTAAGAAAACTCTTGTTTTAATCAAGACGTAATCATTTTTAAATGAAACTCTAGTGTTTTAGTGAGTACCAGATTCTACCATCATCATGAAGAACATAGACCATTGATGTGCATTACATATTTACATAAGTATTTCATTAACAAAGAACATCAGTAGGGAACATGTTTTTCTTTGCAGATGGACACAGATAATTATTCTCTTGATGAATGGATTTTGGATGAATATCAAAGTGATGATGCTATTCAACCAACTGATTGCTCACTTTTCAAAGACAACACAGTTGCTCAGAATTCTTTGCATGAGATAAGTGACTTACCAGAATTTTCTGAGACAGCTACAATACAATCTTTAACTCAGTTACACAGTATCCATGGTTCTGATTCTTCAGGCAGCGAAGATGAAATTGATTCTGCACATATTCAAGCAATCAATGGGGAGGTTAATTTTAGGTTGCATCAATCATTTGCATCCATTGATGATTTTTATGAAGCGGTTAAAAGTTATGGGGTTCAAAATATGTATAACTTGTCCTTTGTTAGGAAAGATAAGATAAAATGTCGTGTAAAGTGTGTCCGAGATTGCCCCTGGCATATATACTGTTCTAAAGTTGGAAGTTTGCAAACGTATAGAGTGAAAACATTTATCTCTAGTCATAATTGTCAAAAGGAGGGAGTGAAAGCGAACTTTGCGGATACTAAGTGGTTAGGTAAGAAGGTCATTGAAGATTTTAGAGAACATCCAAAAATGACTGGTGAGGAATTAAAAGATCTCATATACAAAAAACACAATGTCACCATCAGTATGCCAAAGGCTTATAGAGTAAAAGCATATGCTCTGCAGTCACTTGATGGTAATGTTGCTGAACAGTATTCCAGATTACCAGGTTACTGTGAGGAGCTGCTGAAGACTAATCTGGGATCTACTGCAAAATTAGTTGCCAGAAAACATGGTCAGCGTGGTCCTACAAGATTTGATAGAATATATATGTATACTGTATAGATGCGTGTAAAAGGGGATTTCTAGCCGGATGTAGGCCACTAATTGCTATAGACGGGTGCCATTTGAGTGGATATTATCGTGGTCAACTTCTTGCAGCGGTTGGTCTTGATGGGAACAATGGTATGTTCATTATAGCATATGCAATTGTTTCTTCTGAAACTAGAGAGACGTGGCAATGGTTTTTAGAGAACTTAATTACTGATATTGGACAAACATCCATACGTGGAGAGAGATGGACATTTATTTCTGACCAAGGAAAGGTATATTTTTAATACATTTATTACTTTATACGTACTTACATTTTTATAGAATTATTTCTTAATAAATGGTTTGATTTATAGGGAATAGTGGCTGCACTTGAAGAGTTGTACCCTTCTTCATATCACCGATTTTGCGTACGTCATATGTATACCAATTTCCAGAAAAAATGGAAGGATGAACAAGTTAGATCTTTATTTTGGTTAGCTGCAAAGTCTACCACTGTGTGTGATTTTGACAGACACATGGGCAAGTTGAAGGATAAAGAATATAGTGCATGGGAACATCTCACAGAAATTGGTGTTGAGTGATGGAGCAGAGCACACTTCCAAAATCATGTTAAGTGTCACATTTTCTCAAGTAGCATTGTTGAGTGCTTCAATGGAGTCATAAAAAGGTATCGAGACAATCACGTAGATATTCTTATTGACAATATAAGGATTAAAGCAATGACATTAATGCAAAAAAAGAAGGAAAAGATGAAACTGAATGGTGGTTTAATATGCCCGGAAATACTAAAAAAGTTGAATGCATGCATCGTGGAAAGTACTAGGTGGCGTGCAATTTCATGTGGGGAAGTTATATTCGAGGTTACACTTTGGCCTAAAAGATTTGTTGTGCACCTTCAGAACAACACATGTACTTGTAGATTATGGGACTTGACAGGTGTGTCTTGTGTCCATGCGTGTGCTGCAATAAAAGCTATTAATGGAAGGGCTGAAAATTATGTGCATGAATATTTCACGCGAGAGTTTTTTTTTAGGGCTTATGAGTATGAAGTAGTTCCAATGGGGGGTCCTGATTTTTGGCCTAAAACTGATAATGAGCGGATGCAGCCACCATTGTTAAGAAGACCACCCGGGAGGCCAAAAAAACAAAGGCACAAATCATCATTAGAACGGAAGGATCCCCATAAAGCTAAGAGAAAGTATGGAATGATTAAGTGTGGTAAATGTAGACAGCTTGGCCATAATAAAAGGTCTTGTAAAGAAAATGAGCAGGTATAATTTATTTAACACACTACTATCATACTTGACTATGTATATTTGTCATAATGTATTTCTTTCGCAGGAAATCTCTTGATGATGTTCTGTTTTGTCAGCCCCCAACATCCTCATCACATAAAGAAGAAGAGAATGATCCATATAGAGATGGCAGAAGACAACAACCTTAAAGAGGATGCTTCATTGTTATCTTTTATTTGATTGGCAAAGTTGAAACTTTTTTATTTTACCTTTTGTTGGAATGGCAGTGTTTGAATTAGACCGTAAGTGTTTTGATTTGTTCGAAGGGATTTGTTTGGATTAGAAAATACATTCGTATTGTAGACAAAATATTTGTTCATTCATATCATTTTTGTGTGTCACATTTCAATGAAAATTGTTTACAGTACCTGGAAGAGGGAAATGATGTACATAACTACAAATCACCACCATGCATCCCTCCCTTCATGTATCTTTGTTTGGCAGATTTTGTAATTCATATTGTATTTCCGTTTAAATAAACCTTATCTACTGAGCATAAATATAAATTCTACCTTTTTAATCACATACCACTGAATTAAAAGGAGAGGCAGACCTTAAGTACCTTGAAGGCCGGAGACCGGAGTTCCGTGAAGATGCAAAGTCAAGAAGGCAATTTGGAAGAGTCTATGGCAGCTTATATTTGATTTTGGAAATGGAAGTTTGAAGTAGGAGGACTTTCAAGTTGAAAAAAAATAAAAAATCCGCCATTAGTGAGGAGAGATTGGAGCTTGGCTACAGAGTAGAAACAGAATCCTTTTTTATGCAAGCTGGGAATGTCCACATGATTATGAGAGCTTGGCTACATAGTAGAAATAGAACCCTGGGCTCTATAAGGATACCAAGTCTGACATATTTTGGGTCAAACCTGGGAGAGCTTTACCTACATCCTTTACTGGTTCTGCATGGATGATCCTCTCATGAGCATTTGTTGATTACTGTGTAGAGGGTTGGGATAATCTTCCAAGAACTCTACTTATGTACTACACAAATTTTATCTCTTCTCCTGAAGGATACTTCCAAACTGTTATTTAGTCAACATCAATGCAAGTAGAACTTTAATTATCATCTTCTTGCCAACAATTGGGAAGAAAGCAGGAGGGTCACAAAGGTTCATTAAAAAAACTAAAATAAAATTGGATATACTGTAAGATATGATTTTTTTTTGCATCAATTTTGTCTATATTTGAAAAAGAAATGGTATCTATTTTTCTCTACAAAAAACAGGAGGAATCAGAACATTATGTAATCATCCATCAGAAATCACAACCATACTATAGATTCAAATGTAAATACTCCAAAGAAGTATGGTTTATTTAAAGAACAAGATTTCAAATTAATAAAAACCTGATCCATGACTTCTAGAATCATTTCTCTAACTCTCTCAATCTGCTTTCTGTCACTACTCACTCGTATTGTTCTTACTTTAACGTGTTCTCCTTGGAAGAGTTTACTAGTCTTGATAAGCTTTTCATGGCTACTCCAAACTATGGTCAAACGACACCATGGTTAGATTGGTCGGAGAAGGAAGTTGAGGCGACAGAAGAGCGGGAGATGGAGGAGGTGCGGCTGGGAGTGGGAGATGAGGAGGTGCGGCTGGGAGTGGGAGATGAGGAGGTGTGGCTGGGAGTGGTGGAGATTTGTTGAAATTTTTGGAGATGATGAGGATAAGATAGAACATGTGAAGGAAGCTGAAGAAGAACGAAGAGAGAGTATTATTAGGAAATGTCCGGATGAGATTAATGTCCGGATGAATAAAACGTGAAGTGGATCTGCGTGGCCGCCATGTCACATCCCGTTAAAAAAAGTTAACGGTGTTAATTATTTGAGTCTTATAGTGATAGATTATCATCTTTTAGGTCCCTTAATGAGAGCAATTATCTTTTAGATCCAGAATTGATAGAAAACTCATCTTTCAGGTCTTAAATTGATAAATTTCCATAAAACATTAACAAGAAATAATTGATATCCATAAAAGTCATTTAAAAAGTTATCAAGTCATTGTAAACAACTATTTTACCAAACACCTTTTATCAAAGGTGTTTGGTAAATACAAATAAACAACATTTAACCGCCAAGCGTCATTTGCAGAACACCCCACCATATATCTGATCTGTATCTATAAAACATGAGGCTATTAATATTGTATCTCCGATCCATTCATTTGATTAGTCATTTGTTTAAACTTTCATTACAATATTAATCCAATTTATCTACCCGGATAAGATACCATGTTGATCTTGAGAGTATGGTAAAATTTGACAAAGAAAAAAGTAAATGCAAGTAGAAAGAAAAGAAAAGGAATGTCTGGTGTGACATTCAGTTGAAATCCAATTACTACTCCGTACTTTGTTACGTTATCCCAGACATAAAACAACAACAGTGACTAACAGTTCTTTTGTTGTACAAAAACATTACAAAACACACAGATTCCAATCCAATCCCTAAATAAGTTTAATCAACTTTTTCGGTTTCTGGGATTCTCTTTTTTCTGATCAGATAAGTGTTTCAGGTCACATTTTCTTCCTTTTTTCATTTTCCATTTAGAAACAAAAACAAAAAAAAAACAAACTAAAACTCACTAATAAGCCAGCTAGAAAAGCTAAAAAGACCTACGCCACGTAGACTAAGCTAGAACCCGTCTTGAAACCGACTGATCGGCGGAGCATTAGTGTAGAGCGGCTGCATGTCTCTACCGCCGCCGCCGCTGGTGGGGACAGCTCCCAAGCTGCCTATCCCGCCGCCGGGTAACGCCCCGTGCTTCACCGGAGCCCCGATGCAGGTGTAGCTGTTTTCTAGGTTAGGCACGGCGGCGGCGTAGTTATTAGGGTTGGATTGAGTGGTGGAGAGGACGTGGCCAACGAAGTAGTCGTTCACCGGATACTGTGGATGGGAAGCGTACGTGTATGGTTGAGGCGGCCGCTGTCCGGGAGGAGGAGGCGGCGGTGGTATGGCTGCAGCGGCGGTGGAGGTTCCGGGAAACATCGTCCTTGTCGGGTACATGCCCATGTTGCTTGTTTGGTACCTGCGGCCGTCATTATTTCAAGTTTATCATTCATACGCATCTAATATTCGTAAAGATTGAAAAAGTTTGGGAGATGTTCCAAAACAGGAGTAATTAAACACTTGGGGGGAGAAAATTTCATGAAATAGGAAAATTACAAATTTGGAGTCCTTTATTTATTCATTAAATATACGTATGATATCGTTATTCTTACAATTCACTGTTTATAAATTGATAACAGTAGTGCGGAGTATTATCTTGCTTTAATCGTTAATTTTTTTTTGAAACATGTTAGTACTTACTTCTATTTATAACCTTTTATAATCTAAAAATATAGTGCCTTTGTTTAGGAATTCGTAAACAACTCCGGTACTCATTTAAAAATGTATGGTATCTTATGGTACCATAGAAACTACCATGTTTTTATTTATATTTAGGGAATTTATGAAACTCTAGTTATAATTATATTTATGATTATTATTAACACTCGAATAAAGAGCTTAAACATCACACTAACGTCACATTGTAGGTTTCCCAAAATTATTGAAGTCAAATTAACACTAGTAATATGTAAATGTAAAGTTAGGGGGTACTTTTTTTACTAGAAAGAAGTAAATTTCTCGCCATCATGAAATTATTATGTCACTTTTGGTATTAATATACTTCGTATACTAGTATAACAATTTCTAGTTGATAGTATTTTTCAAATATACCAGTAATTACTCATGCAAACTATGCAATAGAAAAAATAAATCATACTTCTATTTTAGAATTTCATTTTTACTTCTATTTAAGGTAATTTCTATTATTATGTAGTAGCATTTATTCACTATCGAAAGTAGTACATGCACATTATGAAGAGTAAAATATCAAGAGTTTTTTACAATAATATTACTAAAATAATTCATATTTACATAAATATGACTATTCATTACTACAATGTGGTGTTGTGGTAACTTAAGCTTAAAACATGAATTACTATGATTTCATTACTATTTACTACTCTAGTCACTAGTCATATTTTTATAAATCATATTTAATTTTCCAAACAAGTTACAATGAAAATATGTCAATATACACTACCAAAAAAACACGGGATTGAGAGAGATTTGGGCAAGAATTTTTGCAGGGATTATGCAAAATTCATGCCAAAAACACTTTAGATCGAGCTATTTGGCACGAAAGTCAATAATCTATGCCAAATTTCATGTCAATCCCTTGTTTTTTTATAGTGATAATAATTTCATATTTATGAAGAAGAAAGACCCGATCAACTTAAACAGTCATTTTTGGAATGCTAAAGCATTTTTGAACTCAAATTGTGTATTACGCAGTTCTCTAAAATCTTGATATTGCATTTAATTTTTAGAAGCCTTAAGATGTTTTCTTTTGGTCTGAAATTTGCTGGTCTGGTTTGATCTAGTCTGGTCTGATCTGGTCTGATCTGGTCTGAACTGGTCTGGTAAACGTCTGGTCTTTGTGTATTTTATAACTACGGAAGTCTGGTCTGGTCTGGTCTAGTCTAGTCTGGTCTGGTCCGGTCTTGTGTGGGACTGAAAACAGTCCAAAAGAAAACATCCTTAAATTAGATGAAATCAAATGGTGCCAATTAAATGGATCTCCTTGAACAATACGTGCTTTTTAATGGATTTGTCAATTTCCATTGACAAAGTGTGCATGTGAAAGTAGAAGTGAACACAAAATGAAAATACTATTCCAATCTCGTTGCAAGAACTTGATGCTAAAACGAGTAGAGCTATGTTTACATTATGATTGTTCTTAATTGATCGTAATACATGACTTATTTAGTTCTAATAAAAGAATAATATAGTAATAATCTTTACAAGGAAATATTAGACGGAGTAATAGTTAGGGTAATTTGAGTTTACACCTCATTTTATTCTCTAAATTGGACTTTGCACCCTATTTTAAAAACTCTTTCTATTTGCACCCCAACCTCGTATGAAAAGACAAAAATGTCCATCCATAAATAATTTTGTTGGCCTTCAATATATTCCTGATTGAAGAACATTTTTGTCTTTTCATATGAAGTTATAGTGCAAATACAAATATTTTTAAAAACGGGATGCAAAATCCAATTTGAACCATAAAATAAGGTGTAAACTCAAATTACCTCTAATAATTACGATTCTATTTCTAACATTCAGTATGATTTATATGGGCTAATGGGCACTACATGGTATGGAGAGAAAGGAAAGTATAGATAAATACCCCATAATGTGATGAGGCCCTTGAGCTAATATGTTCGTGTCACTACTGAAAACAAGCTGCCGAGCTCGGTTTAGCGTTTCTGTTTCCCTCTCTGACCACCACATCAAAACACAGTATATATAAACAACAAATCATATTCTCGTACTAATCCAAAGTCAAATGAACATACATATTACATATAGGGTCCATTTTTAAGATGGTTTGGAGCAATGCTTTGGAAAAATAAGTCCTTATACACTCGTACATTTAAGATTGTGTAAAATTTGAAGGGATACAATAATAGTAGTATATCAAGAGTATCGGAGGCGTATTCATATAGATTCAGTTTACCAAAATTGAATTGTGCCATACCAAATTGAACAATACCGAATTGAATTTGCTTTGAAGTTGGAAGTATTTCATCCAAATTGAATCACGGAGTATGATTTTTATTAAACCAAATTGAATCATATACGTAGTACGATAGTATATACTATGATTTTTATTTGATAGTCATTCTTCCAATCTATTTCAAATCAAACCCATTACAAATAAATACCGAGGCCAAACAAATATACTCACTCTTGATATCACCCATTTAGTACACTAGTCAACGTAATTCACTAATACGGAGTACCTTTGATTATAGAGTGTACGTACCAAATTTTAATCCTAAATCTGCCCCAAAAGATTTTGCACCATTCTCACTTTTGAAATTTATGAACATCCTCAGTAGTAGGGATTAAAACTTATCCTCTCTTCTCTAGACAAAACTAACTTAACCCTCACTATAATTTCTCATTCCAAATTTCACTCAAACTTGACAAATTAAACTCCAACAAGGTGGGGAGCAATATATGGAGTAAACATTCAAATTCAATGATTATGATCCACAAGTAGAATTATTAATATAGTGTTGGTATGATAATTTAATTCTAATTACAATCTTCACAAGTAGTTACTTTTTTATGAGAAAACCCTCGAAATACCAAATAAGATCGTATATCAATTTGAAACAAATTAAATATTGAATATTTGATACCAGACACTAGTAATACAATGAGTAGTATTATTCTATGCAATTCACCCTTTCTAATGCTACCTCCGTTTCTAAATCAATGTCACACTTTTATCCCCAAAACTCTGTCCTAAGACACATTTAATCTATGTCATTCACCCTAAACAAGATTATATTTATTGGATCCCGATTATTATAAATATTATCTTAAATATGAAATGTAAAAAAGGAGATATGGATATATAGGAGGGGAATGACCGGTCGGACCTTGGCGGTGGCGGTTCATATGTCCCCCAAGAGCTTGAGATTTGCAGAACTTGAGGGAGCAAAACCTGCACTCATACACCTTCCCGCACTCATCCACGCCGCCGCCGCCGTTTTTCTTTTTCCTATACCCGCCTGCACCATCCAACAGATTAACTTTACCTCATCAATTCCATCAAAGATTCCCATATTTCCGTACGACTGCTTTTAATCCTGTGGCGTTTACAAAATCATCTCTCCCACCCACACATCAACCCTAAATCTCATCTTTATGGCACTTTATGTCCTGAATCATGTCACATCCTAGCTCACGAGTCTTGTACACCTTTATTCAATGTTATGCTCGTATTTTGAATTTCATATACTACGTATCTTAAATGATTATTAATCGTAGGTAAAACAAGTTAAATGTATAAGGAATGTTTTTTAGAGTTGTTTGAGCGAAAGTGTAAAAGTATTCTTAAGTGCTCTAAATTGATGTTCTAAGCGGGTTTTAGAAGCTCTCTATTTCTATTTTTGAAAAAAGCAGAAGCATAGTCAATCACAAACACCCCTTAATGTAATTTGATAACTCTTATTTTCAGTTTAGATTTCTTATAGTCATTATATGTTACGTAGTATAATCAAAATAATTGATGACTGAGTTACTTTTCTAGCTGAAGTTACTGAAAATAATTATTTCACTCATTTTTCATATCAAATTTTAATTTCACGTGCTAAATTATGTAATAATCAAAATAACTAAGGATTGAGTTACTTTTCTAGCCGAAGTTACCGAAGAAGATTATTTCAGTCATTTTTTATATAAATTTTTCTTTGTTTTATTAATAGAATATATTATAAATTTAATTTTTCCATGACTCAACAGATTCAATCAATTCAATCGGTTCAAACAATTTCCGTACTCTTAAAAATCACTACTTATGATTTATAATTGACAAAAGTTTCACCTTCCCGATTTTTAAAAATTATACTACGTACCTCCTGACAAGTTACAACACGGTTTTTTTTAAAGGTGGAGTTAATATTGGATTAAAAAGTGAAAAAAACGTGTTGAACCACCAAGTCTGGCTATCTTCAATTCATATATGCTTTCATAAAGGATTATACTCCATAGATATCCAACCTTAATTAGCTTAGATATGGTACCCCATCTAGTGGTCCTCTTGTAACAAAGATGGCAATTATTTATAGGCTTTCCACTTGCTACCCTTCTAGTTCTCTTAACATTAATATAGCTACTAAATTGAAAACACATGTGAATTTCTCGGATGCCCCATTTGTTGACATTTTCTTGCAAACCCACAGAATGGAAGCAAAGTTTGACCATTTGTATCACCAACCTTCGTCTAAAAAAACTTGATATTTCTTGGTTTATTTTCTCATTATTGTTTTCTTTTTAGGTAAAGAAAGCTATTTCTAGTAGTGAAAAACACTGGAAATAAAAAATATAATGGGGTGGATAAATTAAAATATAGCATCACAATTAGAAGAGCTGAGGTACCGTCAAGGTGTTGTTGTTTACCATCTATAGAGTAGTCTTCTGCAGGTAAGTTATTAAGGTCAAGTGGATTTCCTTCCATTCTCCTGAAAGTTGAAAGAATGAAACCATAAAGATGATTACAGTTTACTAATAATTCAAGTAAATATGGTATTATAGCTAAAATACAAATATGAAAGAAATAAAAAGTAATATGGGTATCATTATTTGTAACTAAATTTCTCTTAGCTTCTTACCTTCATAATTGTACCATTACATTAATTAACATGTTGTTTGTATTGCACGTAGAGAAGAAAATGTATAATTTTGACAAGAAAATATTAATTATCAAATACTTCGTACTATGTAAAAAGTAAATAATTCTCTAAATGAAAAGCACAAACTTACTGAACTCCCATGGCGACGTTTGCTGCTCGCAGATCTGAAGAAGAATCCATGGAAGTTGTTGAGAGTTAGCTTTGAGGTGAAACTAGATGTTGTTACTTAAGTTTGGAGTTGAAAGGAGTACTGGCGCTAGAGATCGTGTCAATGATAACTGAGGTGACATGGGTCCGTGATTTATATACTACTGTAGGTATGTGTAGTACGTTACTGTTTGTTTTTGTGTACAATTATACACTCCCTTAGAATAAAATGAAGTTTGCCTTTTATTTTTCAAAAAACAAGAGTGTGACTACGTTGCTTTTTGGTAGATCATTACTCAAAAACAGGAGTCCGACTAGATGCAGTCCGTATACCGTGGGAGCAGCCCACCGTGAGCATGCTGCTCCCACGGGCAAATACGCGTGTTACTGTTCACGCGGGTGAACAGTAACTTTTTTTTTTGTTTTAATTCTCCAGTATGAGAATTAAAACAAGCGTTTATGTTTTAAGATAACTTTTTTTGTTTTAACTCGTGTGTAACGAAATGTAACTCACGCGGATAAGAAATGTAATTAGAAACAAGCGAAAATGTAACTTATCTAAAACATTGATTTTAATGAAAAGAAGAAGTCTAATTTTTCAATTATTTAAGATAAAGAGTGAATATGTTTTGTTTTTATTATTAAGGCCATAAATAATGTTTTTTCCTTAAAATCATTTTTTTTCCCAAAAAATCATTATTTTTGCCAAAAACTCTTTATTTTTTTTGGGAAAAAGTGTTTATTTTTTGTTTCAATAGGAGAAGCTTCCTTAAATAGTGAATATGTTCTATTTTTAATGTTAAGGCCATAAAATGACTTTAATAAAATCACTTATTTTGCCAAATAAATCAGTTTTTTTGCCAAAAAAAATTTTGTTTCTCAAAAAAATGATTCTTTTGTTGCAATAGCAGTGCTTTATGTTGTGATGTAACTCAAGTTATGTAAAATGTAACTGCCGTTGATGGAAAGTCTAACTTAGGTGTATGCAAAGTATTTGTTGAGAGAAGTCTAAATGTAACTCGCACATAGAAAAAAGTAACTCGTGCACAAGATTATGTAACTCGCCCATATAAAAATTAACTCAATATTATATCAAATGTAACTATAGAAATTGTATACAAGCATAACTCACACATAGGATGATGTCACTCGTGCACAATAAGATGTAACTCACAAATAAAAATATGTAACTCGTGTATAAGAAGATGAAACTCTAATAATATACATATATACTAATCCAAACAAATAAATCCTTAATGTGGAGCTTTATTGCACCATATCATGTATGCCAGAAATGCTCATTTTCTTATTTAAGTGTGATGGTTCGAGAGTCTTCACAAGTAATCTCCAAATATTCATGAAAATAGAATAGCCATTAAAAACTAAACTACTAAATTTACAGAAGGGGCTAGCTAGCGACTGATTAGAAGAGGCGAACTCCACCGATTTGAAGGCAGACCAGGCGAACTCCACCGATTTGATTAGATTTAATGGCAAATCAAATTTGTCAATGGATATTGACCATAAGAACGTAACTCACCGGAAATTAAAATGAATCACTAGTATGAAATTTGATTCAATCACATGTAAATTCAATATGGAGGTTTAATTTAGTATTGAAAGGAAACGGATTTATGGGCGTAGAGATGAAATCGCTCAGAAATTCAGAAGTTGTAAATTTTGTTCTGCTCTGTTTTTGAACGAGATGGCTGGAGAAGACGACGAATGTTCGGTCTCTTATTTTATTAATTAATAATTAAACGCTACCGTTTCGGGATCGGCACACCATGTGCACGGACGCACGGTGGGCCGATCCCACAGTATAATTCGCGGACTAGATATTTTATATTCTCTTAGTTACGAATAGATTTGCATTTTATGATTTTTCAATTAAATTGAAGTAGTGAAAAACATACTACTCCGTATTGCTTTAATTTTAGATGGCCAAAAATATGATATAGGTTTAATTTGAATAAAAAAGAGACTAAATTGAACTAAAAGTACTCAAATGTCATTAATATAAAGGGGGTTTCCTTAAATATTACCAAAAAAATTTGCATGGACAAAAATGTAACTTAGTAACTATTAATGACTTTAATTGTGCTTAAACTTTACATCACAGAAATTTAAATTTAGTTACTACGATATAAACTTTGAACATAATTATAGTCACTAAGTAATATTTTTGTCCATCACATTTAAAAAAGTAATTGATGAAATATATTCTCATATACCCCAGGGTTATCACAATCACTGATCAAAGATCACAAAGGCATCACAAAACGACTAAGTACCAGAATCTCGTCTGAGTCCGACCTTGATCCCAGAGGTTGGAAAAAAGCATCGAGCTCGAATATCAACTGGGCAAAGCAAACTATGAGGCCGACCTTGAGAACCGCCCAGATACAGCAGGATCTCGGTTTCCCACCCATTCTTTGGAGACAAGCGTCCTCCCGAGTCCTAAACTTTTCCTTGATGATACTGCAAAGGGTGGTAGGTCGTACGTCTTTTGGTCATTGACGTAGGAGTATGATGGCTAGCCTCGGGCTAGGACTTCTTTTTTTTTCGATAACATGTAAGTATATTAGAAATCGAAAAATAGCATTTTACAATGCATCAAATCCAAGTCAAAATGACTATCTAAGCTAGAATAAACTAACCTAGATATAATGCGTCAAAATAATGGGACATGCCCCACCTCACAAATTAATGTTACAAATAGTCTCTCAAATCCAAGATTTGGACCAATAAAATCAAACAAAAACTAGCTTCAACAGGTTCCTAATCTAAACATCCAAAGAAAGCCCGGAAAGGAGTAGTGAATTTAGCATCAAAACAAACCTCCCCTTTCTTCTTTGTAACTCCCGGTAATCCCTCTAGACATCTTGCAGTGAAAGTTAAGCCCTTTTTATCCAAATCGTCCGTGAGTCGAAGGGAAGTATCCACTCGAATCACACTAGCCCGCACAAATCTAAATGGTTTGACAACCAACTTGAGTGTCTTACCGTTAACCATCTCACATTTGATGACAACATCATGTTGGTGCAAATCATTCTCATCCGTAACTAACCTCTCAATATCTTCCAAAGCGGTCACAGATTGTTCATTTGAGCTTTTCACAACTTCTGGAGACCTTTGGGCAACCTGGGAATCAGACTGCGGTTTAATCCCGGTCGGGTTTGTGGCTGGCCCGGTCGGGTTATGCCCCTGGACAGTCATATTTTCATGAAACCCGGTCGGGTTAGGGCCTGGCCCGGTCGGGTGGATCTCCTGGGCAGATTCTGCCAGACTGGGTTGGGCAGCGGGTTCAACAGTTTCCACAATTTCCGCAAGTATGTTTTCCTTTCCCCCAATTTTTATTTGTTCATCATCACCTTTCTCACTTGATTTCACCGTATCATCGTCCTTTTTTGCTAGCTTATTGCAAATAAACGGGTGGTGCCCATATATCTTACAATGGAAGCAAAAATTTGGGAATGTTTCATACACCACAAATTGTTTAACTACCTTTCGGGATGGTAGTCGAATAGGAAATGAAAGTGGCGGTTGCTTCGAAATATCAACTTCAATAAGCACTCTAGCAAAGTGGTGGTTAGACCTATCATGTGTGACTTTGTCCGTAGTCAATGGGACACCAACCATGGATGCAATCTCACTCAAAGCATCCTCATTCCAAAGTTTCAAGTGTAAGTTAGGGAATTTAACCCAAATAGGCACTTTGAGAAACTCTTCATCATCAAAGGAAAAATCATCCGATAGTGCTTTTAACATAAGTAGTTTCCCAAAAATGGTGTAAGGTCCCTCTTTCAACACTTTTGTCCTATCATCCTCACTTTGGAATTTAAATATCACCCAACCCTTATCATGGGGCTTAATAATGCACTTAACACCCCATGTGTTCTTCAAATCATAAATCGCTTTTAGACCGGGAAATTTTCCGGTGAAACAACCGACTAAACAAAAACCCCACATTTCAACCATACTAGGCATAATTCTATCGGAAAAGTCAATGGTTGTGCCACTAGGCGGGATGTACCTCAATTTAAAGCCATTCGAGGGTGCCCGATTGTCCTTAAAAAGGGAGGACCAAGGAGTAGCAGTCCCTGAGGTAGCTGCAGTAGTAATAGCCTGGGTTGTCACAGTATCATTCTTTGAAACTTGGTTTTCTTTCCCAGCAGCATTTTCTACCCCCTTAGCTTTCTGCCCAGCATTCTTGGAGCCCAAAATCAGAGGCTCATCCTCAGTTACAGCAGCTTGTTCACGAGCAGGTTTCCCAGAGTTTAACACTGCCGATGTTAGTCCAGGGAACTCCTCCCCTGCTCCATCCAGCAGCGCAAACGAGGACCTGGTAATTCGCGAAGTTGAGGATTCGCCATTGACATACTGTTTCTTCCTCGCCATACTTGCGCACTACGGTAGCAGACCCGTTCACCCGCCTAAGTCACCATCATCTTCACTCTGTTTTTTTTTTCTTTATACGCAGGTGGGCCGTTGGAGAAGATGAGCGAAATTCAACTCGATTGGAAGATTGGGAATGGGATATTTGCTTAATCCCTACACCAAGGGGAAGCTAAAGACCCCTCCCAAACAGGCTTTGAACAACGGGAGCTCGAGATAGAGGCGTTGACCTCAAGACGTGAACAGTGTTTCCGCGGAAAGTTTTAGATGAACCAGTCCAGAGACCTCCAAAAAACGAGCTAAAACTTGGAGATTTTGCACCCCAAAAGAGTTTAGGAAGCAAAGCAACCAATTTCCAAGCTCAAAGATCAAGATCAAAGGAGAAATCGAGTAGAGTTATGGATTGGCGAAGAAGAACCTTGGCAGAGGGAGAGAATCAGCTCTCAACTACTCTCAACCAATCCCTACATGACATTTGCTTTTAAACTATTCGGGCTAGGACTTCTTGGTTTGAGGGCCCGGGGTGGAGACGTGCGTCATCGTTGCCTTGGGTCCGGATGGATAACTACCATTGATCCAATGGAGACATACGTCTCCGTTGACGTAGGAGTATGCTAGCTAGCCTCGGGCTAGGACTTCTCAGCCTGAGGACTCGGGGGTGGAGACGTACGTCTGAACTTGAGCCCGACCTCGAAACCCCCGAGGTCGGGATAGATCGCGACACC